GGACTGCGCCCGAGCGTCAGTTTGCTATGCGTGGCCGGGCACCGTCGCGACTCACCACAGAGCCTAGCACTGTCGCGGTCGCGGTGCACCCAGAAGACGCATCGCGGCCCCTCTGTTGGCACCACTCCACTGTGCAGGAAACCCCTGAGAGGACCGAGGGGGCTCCACCCTCAACCTGCCCACGGCCTCTCCTGATCACTGCTGGAGTAGTCTTAAGTCGGGCCTGTCCCCCTACAAGGGGATTTTCGACGAAAAATAAAAATACCCCCCAAATAATCAAAATATAATACAACAATAGTCTGGGGACTATGTTTTGAATATGTTTTGACATGTTTGGGGTATTTTGGGGGTATTTTCAATTTTTCTTCGAACATCTCCCTGTAGGGAGACAGGCCCGACTTAAGAGTAGTGGGCTCCGCGGGGCCATGAGTCTGCTGGGTGCCCGCCGGAGCGTCAGACGTCTTCGCGCGTTTGAGATCCGCCGTGCACGGACTCGTCATGCGCGGCGGACCCGGGGCGCTCCGCTCTCTCCTGGGTCCCTCGAAGCATCCTGGTAAAGCAGCTCCGAGTGCCTTCTAGGGGGATCAGAGGAGAGGGGAGGCTCGAGGCGCGGGGCACAGGAGGGGGAGAAAGAAGGGGTGACAGGAGACGGCGCGCTCCTGCTCTCTGCTGGGCCAGCGCTCCCGTTCCTTCGAGCACAGGGCACTCCACCCACCACCTGGCCCCCAGAATCAGACAAGGGTAGCAGCTCTGATTGCCTGGGGGTGGGAGGCGAGGATAGAGAAGGCTCGAAGAGAGGAGGGGAAAAAGGGGAGATGAGGGTCGGCATGTCAGCTGCTTGCCGGCGGCTCCCGCGGTTCGCAGGGCCCGCGCTCTCGATGAGGATGGGGATGGGGATGGGGATGGGGATGGGGATGGGGATGGGGATGGGGATGGGGATGGGGATGAGGATGAGGATGAGGATGAGGATGAGGATGATGATGATGATGATGATGATGATGATGATGATGATGATGATGATGATGATGGTGATGGTGATGGTGATGGTGATGATGATGATGATGATGATGATGATGATGATGATGATGATGATGATGATGGTGATGATGATGATGATCAATGGAGAAGAGGTTAGGGAGGAAAAGAGAGGTCATGGGAATGGGACCGCAGGCCAGGTGGTGGGGGAGGGGGAGCAAGCACGGGAGCCCACAGGCCCGGGATGCTTGGGGGCAACGTTTCCAAGGCCCAGCCTCTTCCGCGCGCAGAAACACAGTCGGGGCGTTGACCAAAGGAACCCTGAATAGGAGCGAGGTCCCATCTTCCCATGAGTTAGACTTCGATTTCCCAGCGGAGAAATTTGAGGAACAGCTAGGGCAAACGGTGGAACAATTCAGGAGTACGGAAGCCCCTCCCCAACGAAAAGGGCTCCTTCTTCAGCGCCCCGATTGCAATGCCCTGGGCTCCCCTCGGGCACGGCGAAAGAGGGGGATAGCAAAGGGGGGGGGGTGAGAATCAGCTTACGTAGCTGATTTTCCCAGCGCCTCCCGACGCTGGGAGGCGCCCATGTATCGAGGAATGGGCCCCTCGGTGGGGCCGAAACCAGCTGCGTGCAGCAGATTTCGTAACCCCCCCCCCTTTCCCTATTCCCCCCCTTTCGTCCGGCCCGACCCCCTTCTTGGGCAAGGGGCCGCAGCCGAGGGGGGGGGGAGGGCTGGCAGGCTCGGAAACCATCACTGACTGGGGCCCGAAGAAAAGGTATCCTGGGCTCGGCCAGGGGCCAAGCCGGGAGGGCGCGGCAGACCCTGCAGGCTTGGAGATCACTTCTCGGGCCCAGGTCGAAGCAGTGGCCTAATTATAGGAGCCCTGCGGACAGGCCCTGGACCCAGACATGCGACGTCCTGATTTTTGTCAGGACGGTGCCCCCGGAAGTCCAGACCCTGTCCCCGGGGCCGAGTCGTTGCTTAAAGGCCCCGGGGCCCGGCGAGGGCCTCCCCCCCCGAGGCCGAAGCTGGCCAGAAGCCTCCCGTCCACATTTTTGCACGACGCGACCATGCCCGGGCAGGCTCGGACACCTTTTTGTCCGGGGGGCAGGGCACTGTCCGGGAGGCGAGACTTCCAGGGGGCAGGGCACTGTCCTGTCGGGGTCCACCAACAGGGAGGGGGGAGGGGGACCCTGAGGGGGGGGCCCCGGGGGGGAGTTTGATCCGCTGGCGCGTCGAAGTTCCGAAGGACGGTGCGGGGAGCCCCCTCTCGACTATCCCCCCTTGCGCGCGGCCAGCAAAATCCCGCTAGATCAAGTAAGCGCCCCGATGGTCGACGCCTCTCGGGCTCTCCGCGGCGTGCCGGAGACCTCGGCCGGCCTCTCATGATCACTCCGGCTTTGTTGCATGGCTTTTTTTTTTCTTAGCGGTGTTTCTTAGCGGTATGATTTTCCTTTTTTTTCTTGCGGTGGTCGAATGCGCACGGCGGACCAACTCTCCCCCCCCCCCCCCCTGTGCTGGTCCCCTGCCCCCCCCCCAGCTGCCCGTCCCCCGTGTGCCCCCTCCGGGCCCCCCACCCCCCTGCCCCCCCCCCCCCCCCCCCCTGCCGTGTGCCCCCCGCCCCCCCCCCTCCCCCCCCCCTGCCCCGCCCCCCCCCCCCCCAGCCCCCCGCCCCACCTGCCCCTCCCCCTGCCCCCCTGGCCCCCCCCCCGCCCCTGCCCCCCCCCGCCCCCGCCCCCGCCCCCCCCCCCCCGTGCCCCCCCCCCCCCCCTGTGCCCCCCGCCCCCCCTTTTTGTTGCGAGGTCCCGACTGTCCTTGGGCCCCCCTTGGGCCGCAGCTTGGGGGGGAGGGGCGCGGCAGCCCCGCCGGGGGCTGGGAAGAACACGCTGCCGCAGGGCCATGACCTCCTGCGGGCCCTCCCCCTCTGGGCGAGGGACCGATTCGCCCGGGGGGGAGGCCATGGTGGGAGCAACCCCAGGCATGGTCGCGTCGTTAGACAAATCAGGGCGGGAGGCTTCTGGCCCACTTCGGCCTCGGGGGGGAGGGCCATCGCCGGGCCCTGGGGCCTTTCAGAGACGACTCGGGATGAAAAACCGGCCCCAGGGACAGGGCTGAACCTAAACGGTGTTTCTCGTTTTCGTTTTGTTTTCGACTTCCCTCGTGTTGTCTTCAATCCACCTGTAACGCAAAACGAAATCGAAACGACAACGGCCCACGAAATCGCCACAACACCGTTTAGGTCCACCCCTGCCCAAGGAAAGGGTCTGGACTTCCGGGGACACCGTCCTGAAACAATCAGGGCGTCGCATGTCTGGGACTTTTGGGAGCCGGGGGCACTTTCCTGAGGCAGCCTTGTTTGCGGGACCGTAGCCGGACGGTGCCGACGGGCGATGGGGTCTCGAGAACAACTTTGCGAGGCCTAGAACATCTCCTGGCCCCACCCTCAAGCAGGACAGAAACGAGCGCAATGCTCGAGATCGGCTGTCTTACAGGGAAACCACACACCATCATACAATGTCTTTCCAAACATACTAACATGTAACACACGTACCCAATCATTAATTCATCCAATACGACCGAGCAACCGACCGACGACGACGACCGACTGGTCGACTGGCCGGACGACCGACGATGACAGCGACGACGATGACGTCGACGACAACCGTCCAACAACCACGACGACGATGACGACGACGACGAAGACAACGACGACCGAACCACTGCTTGCTGGCTGGCTGACCGGCCAACGAACCACCGACTAACATACCGACAGACCGACCGATCGACCGACCGACCGACCGACCGACGACGACGCCACCGACCGACCAACAGACCAAGCGAGCGACGACGACCGACGACGACGACGAGCGACCGACGACGACTACGATGACGATGACCGACCGAGGCGACCGACGACCACGACGACGACCGACGACGACCGAGCGACCGACCGACCGATGGCGTCGACGACAACCAAGAACGACCGACGACGACGAGGACGGGCCGACCGACCGACGACGACGACCGACCGACCAACGGGCCGCCTGGACGACCGACCGACCGACGTCGACGACAACGAAGACCGACGACGACGACGACGACGACGACGACGACGACGACGGCCAGTTGACCGGCTGGCCGACCGACCGACCAAAGACGACGACGATCGACCGCCGAACCGACCCACGACGACGACGACCGATGACAACGACCGACCGACTGGCCGACCGTCCCACCGACCGACCGTGACCAGCAGATGTCGAAGTCTAGAAGACGTGAGCCGAGTTAAATTCTACAACTCCACTTTCTAAGGGCAGGCGGCTCCTCCCAATCCCGCCACCCTCCTCACCTTCGAGTTATGAAACTACAGTCTCGCGCTTGGCGGATTGCGTTTTTCGCACTCTGGGCCGGGGGGGGCAGGCGGAACAGGGACCAGGGACTGCGCTGTCTGGAGCAGCTTGCCACGGATTGCCCGCAGATCTTCACGGATTCTTTTTCTATGGGCCACTTTGGCTCGCTGACCGCCTGGCCGACCGATGACGACCGACCGACCGACCAGCCGACCGGCCGGCCGACAACGACGACGACGACGATCGACCAACCGACCGGCCGACCGGCCGAACGAACGAACACGATGACGCCAACCACCCGACGACGACGGCAACCAGCCGCCAGGCTGGCCAGCCACGTGGACAGCTCTCGATTCTGCGCGGGAGCGTGGCGCTGGACTCCGCAGCTGGGGGGGGGGGGGAGGCGGGGCAGGCCAGGGAGCTTCGGACACCATCTCCCGGGGCCCGCCCAGATGTCCATGCCCAAGGCGTCGATGACAAAGGTGCAGGCTCACGCTCGCTGGGGACGACGACAAGGGCGAATAGCCCAGGGGCTGGCACTACACATCTTCGCCCGGGAGCCTCGCCGAAGACGCGGACCGTCGGCGCCGCCGGATACCTGGATTAATCTCCTGGGCTATTCGCCCCCATCGTCGCCTCTGAGCCCGTGCCGTCGATCTGAGCTCCCGGCGGGTACGGTCGCAGACGCGCCGCGTAGTACACGCCGTCGTTGAGCAGCGCCTCCTGGGGTACGCAACCGCACACTCTCTGGAGCGAAGGTGGTGGGGGAGTCGGAGGGGGGGAGGGTAAGCAAGAAGAGGAGGGGGGAAGGCGGAGTCAGGAGAGCCCAACATCGAATCGGTAAGTCGGATCGGCGATCGAAAGAATATGCATCGGCTGAAATCGGCAGCCGGTCGGGAGACGTCGAATCGGCGGCTATCGACAGGCTGGTGGGCCTCCAGTGAGAACTCGGACTCCACGTCGGCATCCGCAGTCGAACCGATTCGAATCGGACGCCACCGAAGTCGCACCGACGCAGCTCGGGAGGACTGACACGAGCCCTGGGCGTTGATGGGCCCTCATCCTCTCGGCTACACGCAAGAGTGACCCCGGGTAAGAGTGACCTTTGGTGCGCGGCTTTCTGGGGGCCGCGGGGGGACCAAACCTGGGCGCGCAAGCCGCTGCTCCTGCTTCGGTTTCAGCCATCTGGGGACCCATCTCTGCCCGCACCAAAGGTCACTCCAGCGAAAGGTCCCTCTTGCGTCTAGTCGATCCTCCTCCGCCTTCCCTGCGCCGCGCCCGCCGGCGCGAACCAGGCGGCCGGGCTGTGGGGCCCCTCGGGAAAAGCACTGGCCCGCCCGGGCCGCTCCGCTCGCCGCGGCTGCTGCCCAACTCCCCGTCGTGCGGACGTGCATTCCCTGTGCTTGTGTCGGTTTCGCGCGTGGCTTTTTCGCAGGATGGTCCAAGATGCTCCTCAAGAATCCCCGCCGAGAAAAAGTGCACACGTCCCAGCGATGCCAAGCCAGTGGATCCCCCGCGGTAGAAAGCCGCACTGTGCCCAGACCTCTGGGAAACATCTGGGCGACGAAGAGCGCCTTTGGACGCCCGAAACGGGTACGGAAAAAATGTGTGCAATGCCCAACAGCACATGTTGTCCCAAGTGTTGGAGGCTTGGAAAGTGGCACCAACACCAGCACAGGGGGCTGCCTCCACAGGGGGGAAGATGATCCTCGATTTCGTTGCTGGTGGTAGTATTTCGGTCACCCTGGGAGCCAGAATGTTGCCACCATCGCCGAGATCGGGATGGTCTTCCCTCGGTGGAGGTACACCGCCGGTCTTGGTGTTGGTGTCAACCTCTGCCTGCGAAATTGATCCCCTGCGGTAGAACGCCGCACTGTGCCCAGACACACGGGTCGTACGCAAGATGGCATGGGCGACCTTACGCGGTAGCGTACTCGTGGGCCGCTGGCGCGGGCATGTCCCCCTACAGGGGGATCTTGGACGAAAAATAACAAGTAGTCAAACAATACCCCCCAAATGCTCAAACATACTAAAAGCATTGTCCCCCGACTATGTTTTAACTATTTTTGAATATTCCCCCCGCAGGGGGACAGGCCCGACTTCATGATAGCCAGTGTGGAGGCAACCGTCATCAGGTGTTCCTCCTCCGCGCCCGGGGGAACCGCGGGGAAACCAGATACAAGCAGCCAGTGCTGCGCAGAGCTAGCTGCATGAAGCCAGCTCGGCGCGAAACGAGCAACATGTAGCTGGTTTCGCGCGCGAGCGAGCTCCGAGCAGCTAGCTTGGTGCTTGAACCAACTCCATGTCATTATCACTCCTCGGCGAACACCTCGACGTAGCAACGCCGAACATCTCCACATATGAAAGTCACTGGAAAAAGGTCCGGAATCAGCTGCTGTAGCTGGCTTGCCGTGAGAGTCTGCTGACGGACCAGCAGCAGGTATCAAATTCCAAGCCCCCCCCATTGGCCACCCCTCCCCTTTCGCGCGCACGCTACATTGGAAACGAGGTGGATCGGTGCCGTCTCCCAGAAGCCCTCTCGCAACCTCCCTCACTCGCTCCTTCTCTCCACCTGTCGTCCTTCTCCCCCCACGTTTATGATAATATCGTCCTCCTCAGCCTCGGTCTCGCACCCAAGCTCTCACAGCGAGGAATCTAACTTACATGCGGCAGACGCCTATCCTGTTCGCGAGCCAGAAGGCAATCTGACAAAGAAGGGATGTCGACCCAGGCTGGCACACTCAACCAAATCACTCGCTGCGGCGTCGGCCAACATTTGCGAACTTCAAACGCCCCTCGCCTTCGCAATAAGGCGCACCTTTCCTCGGGAGTGCCACGGCCGACCTTTCGACCAAATGCTTCCCAATGCGGCGCATGCGGACCTTCCCTTCGGGCCTTCTGTCTCTCCCTCCATTTTGAGTATTACATCCTGCTGTCTGCAGAAGAGATGTCTGCAGCGTGCGAGTTGTTGTATCGCTCTCTCTCTCTCTCTGCCTCTCTCGGTTGTCCCCCTACACCGGACTCACTTCTATAGCGCTCACTTCTATAGTGCTCACTTTGAAATTGTGGTCCGGAAGGGGCCGCACATGCAGGCACATGCCGCACAGTCGCATGCACATGCCCATGCAAATATACAAAAGCCTCAACAGCATTGCAGCACATGCGCGCACATGCCACACCGTCCGACGCACACTCGAATGCACGGTCAAGCAAATCTCTGAAAGCATAGACGCACATGCCCGCACATGCCGCAGAAATGTCGTAGGCGATAGTGGCCTGGCCACCTGAGCTCGGGGCATTTCGCTACCCAGAGTTGCGAGGATGTCTCAGGCAAGCGTGGCCGGACCACCATGGGGCAGGGCATCTTGGAAACCAGAGTGGCGAGGATGTCGTTGGTCAAGGTGACCAGACCACCATGGGGCAGGACACCTCCGAGGTCTGAGTTGTGAGGATGTCTCAGGCGAAAGTGGTCTGACCACCATGGGGCAAGAGATCTCTGAGGTCAGAGTTGCGAGGATGTCTCTGGCCAGAGTGGTCTGACCACCTCAGCCCAGGGCGTCTCGGAACCCAGAGTTGCGAGGATGTCTCAGGCAGGAGTGGCCCGACCACCTGATCAGGGCATCTCGGAACCCAGAGGTGCGAGGGTCTCTGGCGAAAAAGGCCGAGACACTATGGAGCAGGGCATCATTGAGGTCAGAGTTGCGAGGATGTCTCAGGGGAAAGTGGCCTGAACACCTCAACTCAGGGCATCTCGGGCGAGGATGTCTAAAGCGAAAGTGGTCTAACCACCTCAGCTCAGGGCGTCTCGGAACCCAGAGTTCCGAGGATGTCTCAGGCGAAAGGGGCCGAGACACTATCGAGCAGGGCATCATTGAAATCAGGGTTGCGAGGATGTCTCAGGCGACAGTGGCTGACCACCTCAGCTCGGGGCATATCGGAATCGAGACTTGCGAGGATGTCTAAGGCGACCGTGGCCTGACCAGCATGGGGCAGGAGATCTCTGAGGTCAGAGTGGCGAGGATGTCTCAAGCGAAAGTGGTCTAACCACCTCAGCTCAGGGCGTCTCGAAACCCAGTCCCGAGGATGTCTCAAGCGAAAGTGGCCGGGCCACCATGGGGCAGGGCATCTCCGAGACCAGAGTTGCGAGGATGTCTCAAGCGAAGGTGGCCAGATCACTTCATGTCAAAGCACGTCGGCCTCCAAATTGCCGACGACGTCTCACGCGGAACTGGCCGGACTCGAACGCGCCGGCGTCCGGAGACGAACGCCGGCCCCGGCATTCTTGCACGTCCCGCACATGCACTGCACAGGTACGCACAGTATTCGCACAGGCCGAGCTCGCCAGTGGCCGAGCCAGGCCAGCGATTCCGAAATTCCCTGAGCTCGGGCCGTCAGGCCACTTTCGCCTGAGACATCCTCGCAACTCTCACCTCCTCCTCCTCCTCCTCCTCCTCCTCCTCCTCCTCCTCCTCCTCCTCTTCCTCCTCGTCCTCGTCCTCCTCCTCCTCCTCCTCCTCCTCCTCCTCCTCCTCCTCCTCCTCCTCCTCCTCCTCCTCCTCCTCCTACTCCTCCACCCTTACCGTTTCAAAGGGTTTGTGAATTGGAAAGCCAAGGGTGTTGGGCATGAAAACGAGCAAGCGCTGTGACATCCACAACAATGGCCGGCGAACGGGCCGTATGATATACCCCTTGGTGCTCCCCTGAGGGGGTGCTGAAACCCCAGCGCCCCGCCTGAGGACTATCCTCACAATCTGCTATGGAAGCCAAGGATGTTGAGCATTGAAAAAAAGAACCGCCTGAGACATCCCCACAAACTGGCCGCGAACGGGCCCGTGATATACCCCCTGGCGGCTCCCGTTAGGGGTGCTGAAACCAGCGCCCCGCCTGAGATATCCTCAAACTCTGCTATAGAATACAAGGATGTTGGGCATGCAAACGAGCAAACCGCCTGAGACACCCCCACAAACTGCCCGCGAACGGGCCCGTGATATACCCCCTGACGGCTCCCCTGCGGGGTGCTGAAACCAGCGCCCCGCCTGAGACATCCTCACAATCTGCTATGAACGCCAAGGATGTTGGGCATGACGCGAGCAAACCGCCTGAGACATCCCCACAAACTGGCCGCGAACGGGCCCGTGATATACCCCCTGGCGGCTCCCGTTAGGGGTGCTGAAACCAGCGCCCCGCCTGAGATATCCTCAAACTCTGCTATAGAATACAAGGATGTTGGGCATGCAAACGAGCAAACCGCCTGAGACACCCCCACAAACTGCCCGCGAACGGGCCCGTGATATACCCCCTGACGGCTCCCCTGCGGGGTGCTGAAACCAGCGCCCCGCCTGAGACATCCTCACAATCTGCTATGAAAGCAAAGGGTGTTGGGAACGAACACGAGGAAACCGCTTGAGACATCCCCACAAACTGGCCGCGAACGGGCCCATGATATACCCCTTGGCGGCCCCCCTTAGGGGTGCTGAAACCAGCGCCCCGCCTGAGACATCCTCACAATCTGCTATGAAAGCCAATGATGTTGGGCATGAAAACGAACAAACCGCATGAGACAGCCTCACAAACTGGCCGCGAACGGGCCCGTGCTATACCCCCTGGCGGCTCCCCTTAGGAGTGCTGAAACCAGCGCCCCGCCTGAGACATCCTCACAATCGCTTTTTCTCAAATGTTATTATTTGTATTCACTCTTCGGATAATCATCATGAAAGCAAGGG